AGTATAAACATTATCATAAATTTAGGGGTTTTTCGTGGGGCACCCTGTACATTCATACCCCGTTAGGCAAATTTAGATACATTTACAGTCATTTACACAACGAACACAAACATATTGAAACCAACATAATTTTATTTAATTTAATATTTTTTCGATTACTTCCGCCACAATTACATATTCATTTGCGCTCACTAGCCAAGAATTAAATGTTTGACCACAAAATACGTTTAGCAGTTGGGTGGGGGGATAGATATCTTGAGGGGCCCTACAAGTCAGTTTTGCCGTTCTTAACTTGAACGCAACTTGTTAGCAGAATCGAAGAGGCGTGTTCCAGAAAGAAGTCATAAAGAGGCAGGCAGTCATATTTTTTTCAGCCGGACGTTTCGGATTCTGACTTGAATCCATCATCTGACCTTGCCTCTGATGATATATTCGAGTAAGAGTCTAAAACGTCAGGCTAATAAAACCCTTGTTCAAGCCACCGTGTCTTGTCCTTCAACCGAGAGGAGGAAGTTATAGGCAAACAGTAGTGCATCAAGAGGCTTACTCAACCAGAAAGACATTTTTGCTGGAACGGTCCATGTAGTCTGACTTTATCGGTTTCTTCGTCAAGCTTGTTATCTTGTGTATCCTGTGTTGAGCAACGCACTGCGAAGATGTCAATTTTGTTTCATGTCTTCCATCCCAGGCTGCATAGAACCGCCATCAGCTGCGTTAATTATAGAAGAGGGCTTGTTGGCTCGGTCCGTTAAAGTGCTTTTGTTGAAGACGTTGTTTGGCAGATGCGTTCCAGGTACCAGCGCCCTGACAATTCTAGAGCCGTTTCGGTCGTGAAAACAGTACACCACTAACTGGCAGACTGAAGAGAGTGGATCTGCAGATGGACTTATTTGACCACGTAAACGCGCATCAAGTTAAAGCCACTTCCTCGCCAAGCTACTTTTTCATGCTTGTCACAGCAAACATGCTCACCCTAATCGGCTAATGGTATTGGCGCCATAGTGTAAATATTCGGTCAGAGCGTTTTGTACCTGTGTGGTCGTTTCTCTTTTTTGAGTCATGAGTATTTTGAAGCCAGCTGAGGATGACAATGATGATAATGATGATGATGATGATGATGATGATGACGAGAACGGCGATGGTGATGGTGAGAATGATGCCGACAACGTCCTCGTTAGTAAAGTCGAAAAGACTCGTCCTGTAGTAGTTTATGTCTTCCTAAAACAGGCGCGAATATGGCCCTGTTATAGTCCCCAGGTTTGTACAATCACCTGATCAGTCAAAAGCGTCGACAGTAGCCTTTTGGATTTTGGCGCGAGTTCTTGTTGTTCCACAGCTTTTCGATTGTAGGCGTTAGTATCATTTTTTTACCGACATACTTTATTGGATACGTGTTGGAAACGGTGACAGTCAATCTCGTCGAAATTTTTTGAACTTATCTGTTTTCTAGTGC